GCTTTCCATTGAGGCGGCTTTGGGGTTGAGCAGGACCTCGTCGGGCCAGGCTTTGTACTGTTGGACTGCCGCTTTGGACTGTCATTGCTCGGGCCGCTCTTACGCCCCATTGTAGTTGCTCCCCTCAAGGACGCTGAGACCATGTTGGTGCTCCGCTCTGAATTGCAGGGCGAGTGCTACAGTGCGAGCGTGTGCTACGGCTTTGAAGCTCAAGGCTAAGAACTTACGATTTCCGGCTAATTATGCATCACTACGATAACTAATGCTACCATGCTTCAGCATTCTTGCCACATCACTGTCCTCCATAACCCTAAACCGAACCATAAACCTCCAAATTCGCCCTGGCCCCAGCAATGTTTTAGTCTGGTTGACATGGTTCAGGCAGTACCTCAGGGTCATGAAGAATGAAATTCAGATTCAGGGCTATAGGGCTCGGGTCATCATAAGAACTAATTAGTCATAACGTTTGTTTTGCACTTGGCAAGACCCTTTTGGGGTATGTCACGGTATGTCCATGCGTGCACAACCCGGCAATTCTTGAGGAGCTAGCCAGCCAGCGACTCAGAGCGCTCTCATAGCAAGCTGCACTAAGCTTGGCTGCATGGTCTATTCGAGTCTACAAAAGCCCGAAAGCCCGCAAGCACAGTCATTCAGTCATTAAGCTGAAGGAGATAAAGACTCGAAAAAACACTTTGGACCCTTCTAGTCTAGCAAACTACAGAACCTGGCATAGATCCATATCGTGACATATTATCGCAGCGTCCGAGCTGGACTCCGTATGCTACATCAAACAGCCTGCTATACGGTACTGCATACCGCCCTGGAAGAAATCCGCGTTGTGCAGGATAGGAATTATGCAAACGGTAGATGTTCAGAGGAGACTAGGGACTTCACAAGCACAAGAGCCACAACACGGCGCAGCAAGTCTGCCGCAAACGAATCAGAATAGAAAGACTGCGCGTTGCACTGCGGGTCTGTTTTGGTTTTGGTAAAGCTTTCAAATGGCTTTGATGAAGCTGGACCTCTCGAGCTCTGCTTCCTCACTGACATTGCTCGGCATCTCGAGCTTTGCTTCAGCCTCAGGGGCTGACGCAGCATGGATTCGTTGCATCCACTAGTAGAAAATGTGGGGGCAGGCTCTCGCTTTTTGGGCTAGGAACGGAAAGCGCGGATATGCGCGGGGCAGGGAGCTTAGGTGGCTACCCGGTAACCTGTCTATGCCTACCGCTTCATTGATTTGCCGGCGCTGCTCTGTCGATGCTACTGATACATCTCTCTCCTTACCAGTAGCACTAATGTTGCACTGACTTTAATATACGCATCCTCTATAATCACAAATTATTCTGCGAACCGAGTTTGGAGGTACCTGTTATTATCACAAGCGTTTTTTCCCGGACGGTTGTTTGCTTTAAGGGTTTGTGTTTAGGGTGGGCTTACGCTGTAAGGCTTGAGGCCCTGAAGGCTGGAAGCTTCAGGCCGTAAGGTCCTAAAGGCTAGAGGCCCTGAAACTTTCTCCCCCGCGCCATGCATTGATAGAGGGTCCAAATTTTTGTTGGGGCGGGGAGGGGGGGAGCAGGAGGGCGGGGGGGCACCCGGCATGAAATCTCTGGGCTGACTTGGCATCGGAGTCTGAAAGGGCGAAGGAGGCAGGGCTACCTCTCTACCCGCTTCGTGTCCGGCAACTGCGCGAACCATGGAGAGGAAGTGACGGCGCCAACGGGCGGTGCACACACAGGTGCAGCAAGCACACGACCCGTCAGGGCACTGCGATGCGGCATGTTGCCTATGCCTGGCCGCCCTGCATGCAAGAGAAAACAGCAAACAGTGGCTTGCTCCGCAAGCAGATCGAGTTGCGCAAAAAGGCAGAGCAATCCAAACGCAAGAGGTGCTGCACCTCCCTTGGGAAGTAGTGGTTCCAGCCCGTTGCATCTGCCTCTGTGGGCAGGATAATCCCTGCCTGCATGGGTTTGGTCATCGCTATATCGCTGGTCCCTGCAGTAGCAAGCGCGGTGAGGGGCCCCGCTGAGCAACAAAGACATAAAGTACCTGCGACCCGGCTTGCAGCACGTACTGCTGACACGCGTAGGCATCCATGGCTGTATGGCAGCAAACTGCAGACTCCGATACAACGGTGGGCGAGCTGAAACTAAACTAACAGAAGCAAAGGCACAAATCTCCCTCGGGCGTGGAAAGCGAAAAGTTGCCTAACGGCAAAGATCAACATGAGAAACCAATGACAAGTTTGCCACATGATCAATGCACCCCTCTAACTTTGAGCCCGCGCAAGGTTTAAGAGAGCACCCAAGCCAGCAATCCCAAGGTGTTTGCAAACCAAATGGCGGTCTTGGAGTGGGCAAGACCCATCATTTTCCGCTGTACTTGATCAAGGCCCACCTTGAGCAACATCTTCGACTGGCTTGGCGACTGACGGATAGTCAAGCCGCACTGCTCTTACAAGCAGTCTCTGAAGCGGTTCCCCAAAAACGATCCCATCATCTTGAGTGAATAGCCTGCTTTCTTGATGAACAAGGGCTGCGGTGCGCACAATGAGTTTTTACGCATTTTACGCGCTGTGTTTCGTCTTGGTTGATGGCTCTCAGGTAAGACTGCCCAGTCTTCCTCTTCCTTGCCCTCCGTGCACTGACAGCAGCCGCCAACTCTCGTTGCCCTGCCGCTCATCGCTGGCCGTGACAACACGTGGCACCATGGCAATGCAACTCTTCCCTTTGTGGTGTCGCGGCCGAACGCAGACTGTGGTGAAGCTAATGATTGCAGCTAATGCGGTGGTACTACTTCTTCCCGCCTGCTTGGATGTTACCAGACGGCTTGTCTGCTCCTGCATTGCAGCCACAAACAGGCGGCTGCCAGTGGTCCAGGTGGGCGCCTCGAGAGATCTTGCAAGTGGTGTGCCAGCCAGGCCAAATGGCCACCCACCCAATGCGCAAGCTCACTGCTGCGACCGCCGTGACAATCCGCTGATATGTTTGCCCAGTGGCAGTCATGGTGCTCCTGATGCCCTGTAGAACTAAGTAAGAGCTTTGTGAGCATGATCCAGTCCGAACTGCAAGTTAGCTGTCACCTTCCATGATTGGCTTACCCGAAAAGATTTGGAAGTGAACCGGTGGTCCTGGCGTAAATTCTTGATATTGGCGGTGTCCCAGTGTTTGCGAGCCTTGAAGCAAAATCCGCGCAAACGCATTAACGCCAAGTTGCTGATTCGTGTGCCTGGCGGCCTCCGCCCAGGCCTGCAAAGCTTTTGCCTTTGTCCGTGGACTTGTGGGAGTTCGAACTACAGCTTGCCAGCTGACCTTCTTGCATCTGTCTACATGATGGTGGTTTTGATGATCTGGCATACCCTCGCATTTTGCGACCCCCCGTATGCTCTGCGCTGCTCGATTACACCTGGACTTCTGCGACGACTTCGAGTACTGAGCGCGGGGGACACGTAGACTCTTGGTGCTCTGCTCTTCGGGTTGCTGCTGGTTGGTGGTTATGTTTTGTGTTTGTTTTGGTGTGTGTTTGCTTTGGTTTTCGCACCTGCTCCGTTTCACCTCTTGCATTGAGTTCCCTAAGAACGGCCTACTTTGGGGGGCCAGACGTGCGTTGCCAGAAATTCATGGTTGCAGGCACCCCCAATTCTGGTCCCCAAACTTGCTCCATTTCGTACTTTTGGAAACTGCATTGAGAGAACCAACACACACGACACAGAGACACACGATACAGGACAACCGACGACCGCAAGGACCGACGGACCCACAAAGAAACATGCCAAATCACCAACCGAGTTGAACTAAAGGAAGGCCAAAATACCAAAAAAACCAATAATGGACCCAAGACCGACTACCAAGATCGATCTCAAATGACAAGAAACAAACCAGGGGACCCAATCGACCAGAAGCTGAGGGACCACCACAACTCACAACAAGGGAGAGACTCAAAGGACTGAAGCCCAAGCACACAACTTCGGAATCTGTTGGAACAGATCCGACCAGCAACATCTAAGAAACATGGACACAAACATGAAACAGACAACAAATGCAGAGAGAGAATAGACAGGAGATTAAAAAGCAAAACACGAAAAACAACCAACAATCAACAGACCCAAGAACTCCAGGACCCAAGACCGGACACTTGGTTGACCAAGGAAGAGGGACCAACCAAGATTGGCCAGAAGGCTGAAGAGAGAAAGATCCAAGCGACTCAAGGCAGCCTCTTCACTCCATCAGCAGCTGAATAGGACAAGGCAAGACTCAGAGTAAGGAGAAAAATCAGCACCAAGACCACCGAAAAAAGACACAGACCAACAGGACCGATCCAGCGACTCCAGAGACTCATGGACTCCAAAAGAAATTTTGAACCAAAAAGAGTCTTAAGGACCACTTTAATAACCTGACTTTGGAGATTCACTTCGCACAGAACTCTTTTGCTGTGCCAGGGGTTGGTCACTGGAACTGCGTCTCTGAATTGACCGATTTTGGTCGAGGAATAGAGATGCAGTCCGGTACAAAGATTTCACATGTCTCAAATCCTTTCCTCCAGCCCGGGCAGCCCGGCTAGACACAATGCAACTCCGGGCATACTCAAACAGAGGGATTTGGACAAAGAATGAATCCTTATCCCCTATCCAGCAACCCAATGCCACGCAAGCGTGCGAATGGGAGGGCCGGGCCGGGATGAACAAAAACTGCGGAGATAGAGATGCGGCACCGCAACTACAAACACTCCGCTCATCTACATATACGCAAATGCAGCTATTCATGGAGATTCACTTCGCACAGAACTCTTTTGCTGTGCCAGGGGTTGGTCACTTGAACTGCGTCTCTGAATTGACCGATTTTGGTCGAGGAATAGAGATGCAGTCTGGTACAAAGATTTCACATGTCTCAAATCCTTTCCTCCAGCCCGGGCAGCCCGGCTAGACACAATGCAACTCCGGGCATACTCAAACAGAGGGATTTGGACAAAGAATGAATCCTTATCCACGGACCCCGAAATTTGGCCTAGAGGCCGAGATTCAGCTTAAGGGCCTCTGCTGCAGCAGCGGCCAAACCCAGCTGCTTGGGTGACAGCTGCAGGAAACGAACTGTGGCAATCGCATCGGCCAGATAGATTCTGGCTGAAGAAGAGCTGGCCCAACGGCCACGCAACAAACACTTTTCCATGCTACCATGCAGCAGGAAGGCATACGTGGCACCGCCCCTACGCAAGGAGTACGGCGTGACGTGAAAATCAAGATCAAAAGCACGACACAAAGCATGAAAGACTTTTCGGAAGTGAGCTGCTCCGTCAGGCAAGAGCAGGCCGGAGGATTCACAAACAACGCACCGCAGCGCTGCATTAGCCAAAACGCTCTCCACAACAACCATCTCCTGGTTGCCCGAGCGCTTAGACGTTTTTGTGGAAGGCAAACAAAGGACAGCCCGACCTTTGATGAAAGAAATGTGCTGCATCCTGACCTGCAACAGTTCGCCGGTGCGCAACATGGCATCAAAACCCACCAACAAAGCAGCAGCTATTGCCCTATAGCCACCAGCCCACGCTAATCCCGCGAAACCTGCCAGCAAGTGCGGATTAATGGGGACTGCTCGCTGAGGCGGCTCAATGCGATGCCAAACTTTGCACAGCTTCCATGAGTAGTGCAGTCGCTTTCTGATTGACGGCATGAAAAACTGCAATCCGGCCAACGTGTCATTGCTGAGCGATTTATGTTCGCCTTCGGAAAAGACGTGCTCTAGAAACATTGCCACTGCTGCATCCACTTGCTCCAAGACGCGTGGCCCACATTGATGCAACTTCCAAAACTCCAGCAGAACCGCGACTGCAGAGGCGTAGCGACGCCGCATTTGGGAACTAACTAGCGAATCTTTCAGCGTGCAGCCTTGACGTTGCGCTTGACGCGCTTTCTTGAGGGGGTCCTGCTTAACCATCGTGAGGGCAGGTCTGCAGGATTGTCCGCGCTGTGGACATACCCAAATGCCGGCACCACTCCTGCAGTCAACAAAAGTGCATTCAGCTTTCGCAGGACAAACTGGAGTTTACGGGAGCTTGTGCGGCCCTTAGCTAAAATACTGCAGCAAACCTGACTGTCTACCAGGTGTAGGCAGCGAACCCGCAGGTTCTGCACTTTCCTCAGTCGCCACCGAAAACAATTCAGCACTGCAGAAAGCTCAAGTTGGTTAATGTGAGCGTGCGTGTTCTTCCAGGGGTAACCTTGCACTACCGCCCAGCGCCAGTAGCGAGCCTGCAGCCCGCTCCTGGGCCACTCTTTAGACCGGAACGGAATGCCCAGTTCAACCCTCACGTCTGCGCCAGACTTATCAGCCCGTTTGAGGTATTGCAGCACAAGCCGTTTGCTGTCTTCACTCTCTGGTGGCGAACGGACAAAACTTGGCTCACTAACCCAGCCAGCCGGAGCAGTACCGGGCCAGTGCAAAGTTTCAGGTTTCCAAGTGAGTTTTGAAGCTGCGTATTGCTGCAGAACTGGAAACAAAAGCAAGGCTAGAGTTGGCACATGAAACGTTTTGCCTAACATGCAACACGCTTGAACGAAAAATTCCTGCTGAGAGAGTTTATCGCTAAGCCCAGTTGTCACATAACCCTCAGGGAACCCCATGAGCCGTTCCCTTTCACAGACTGAAGGAACCCTCAGCCCCGACACAGGGTCCTGAACAAGGCACGTGGTTTCAAACTGCTGGACTGGGAACACGTGCAAGTGAGCTCTCCAACGATTGATGGCTTCAGCTGAAGCATTTTGCACAATGGCGTGTTTTGGGGGGTGAACAGAAACATGGGCTTGCGAAAGTGCCGGCAGCAAGGTGTTGTCTTGCTGCAGCCACACGCTGCCTTGCTCAACCCAGTGCTGTGGACCCCTTCTAAAGCAAGGCGGCCTGACGCGCCTCATGAGGTCGTCCTCATCGTACGGGGCAATGGCATCACGAGATGTCCACGCCCAGGAACACCAGTAAAGGCGAGGTCTCTCGCAGTAGGAAAACCAAGAAGCGCATATGTGGAATGGCTTGACCTGCAGGGTGGCATTGAAGCTTCTGACAATGTCTTCAGGTAGGTCACCCAGGTTTAGACTGCGCTTCTCGCGCATTTTTGATTACACGCAACCCCTCGTGGAACAGCTGCAATTTGACAGCATCAGCCCGCTGATCCTTGCTGCCCGCAACGAGGCTTTGACAAGGACTGCTGACACCCACTAACACAAAGTCATACTCGTAACCCGCAGACGTGAATACCTGTTCTAGCAAGTTGGAGGTAAGGTGCTCCACCGGACCTAGCTCCAGCACACCCGGCCAGCGCTTCCTCACCAGCTTCTTGCTGTCGGCATCCCGCTCTGCAGCTGCATATCCTATCACCAGAACAGGCAATTGCGTTAACGCCACCATGAGTGCGCCGATGCCATCAAAGAGTGATATCACGAATACTCTAGGCGCCCCGGAGGAGACTTGCCTACCATGCTGCATGGAACCCAATGGGTGAAAAGCATGCGTCCCATCGCGAGAGGCCGAGTCCAGTGCCTGCTGACCAGCCTCCGTTAATCCTGCACTGCGACAGTGACCACCGCCTTCCATAGATGCATCACTCACAGTCACCATATCAGAGATAGGGGCCCGGAGGTCAGAAAACGCTAAGGGCAGCAAGCTTAAGGCAATGAGAACTTCGTCTGCATCCTTCTGTCGCAGCCACACCAGCCGCTGCAGAGATCCGTGCTCCCACACCCGGTTAAGTACACCTAGGAGCGGCCTCCTAAACTCGAAAATGCGTACAAGGCGTCCCAGTAGCATTAACCAAACCCCGCTGCCGAGGCGCTGACGCCCCAAGACATACCGAGCAAAGGCTAGGATTTCCAGCATCTTACTTGCAGTAACGCCTACTCGGCCAACGACTCCGTCAACCGAGCCGCCCATGCGTTCGACTTTTGTTGCTCTCTGCACAGTTTTGTCAGTAGCAATTTGCACGCCTGCCAAGCTGTACGCGCGCCGTTGTTGGAGTTGAAAATCCGCAGGACTCCCCTCTGGAGGCGCTGTCTCCGGCTCGAATATCTCCACCGCGTCGAAATCGTCCAGATAGTACTGGTACCAGGACTGCGCCTGCAGGGGCCAGGGGCGGTCACGCCTCCACTCAAAATCAGGCGGGAGGTCAGCCCCACAGGCTGGGTTCAGTCCGAGTTGTCTATGCAGATGTTGAAACAATGGAACGGCGTTGACCCAACCCATGGGAATAACTGCCGCACAGACATGCGTTTTGCCTGTTCCCGCAAGGCCTAAAAGCTCACATGGCACGGGCCAATGAAACGTCATGTATTTGCCCCATCCTGACGGGAGCTGCCACGCGTAGAAGGCACCCTTCTGATCTTCCGATGACCAGAGCAGGACTTCCCCGCTCTGCAACACAATGTTAGACCAGGTTGGAGCGCCTGCCAGAGTCGCCACTTCCTCGCGAAGAGGTCTTTGATATGTGTTCCCGGGAACCATGTTCATAATGAAACGGGTTACCCTACGGAACCCCTCGCTTGGCTCGCCCTTCTTCAGGACTGCGAATGCACCATTTAAAACAGGCCTCCCGTTAACATGAAGAATGTCTGCTTTGTCGATGGCCCTGAGAATACCCAGCTGATGCATGTGCTGGGCTACTCGGCACCACTCTTCATAGCTGCACTGAATACGGGCTTTGGGGATTTTTGAGGGCCAGCGTTCACAGGGAAGAAGTGCCTCTTCCGGTTTTGACAGCCAGTCCTGAACTACCCCCGTCGCAAAATCAACAGCGAGCAGGGACCCAGCAACCCCTGTTCTAGGCAAACCAGGCACTAGCTCCCCCAAAACAAGAGGCAAGGCAACCGACACCTCCTCGTTGTCATAGCTGATGCGCCGGGATTTGATCAACTCCCCGAAGTTTGGCAATGTGACCTGCAGGGCAGGCGAAGAGCAGAAGTGCGCTATTGCTTCACGCATGGCGGTTAAAGCTTTGGTTTGCCCTATTGTTGCTGTCACGTGTGGCCGTCGCCGACAGGGCTGCCAGCCACTGAATTCGCCATTCAAAGAGAAGCAGACAATCCACTCCCAAACCTCGCAACAAACTCTGATGGCCCGATCCTTCTTTTGCTGGCGTCGTTTGGGTCCTTTCAGCCACGCAGCTACTGACTCCCACAATGTGAGTTTAGGGTATGTGCCCTGCAACAGGCACTGCAAGCTACTCAGGTTACTCAAGGAAGGCAAGGGTAGAGGCAGTAGGTCGCGGTTCCTCTCCCTCACTTCCGGTGGCACAGCAACTGACGATAAACTCTTTCTGGCGAGAACGCCCACACCTTTTGGGCATGACCTGAGTGCTTCAAAAAGCCAAAGTGTCAACTCTAGCAGCGTGGCTGTCTGTTGCGACTCACCGCCAAACGTCTCACGCCAGTGAGAGATTGACAGGGGCAGCGGCTTGGAAGGCATCCCGGACATTGGCGCCACACTAGGTGAGGAACCTGTGCTCATGGCAGGCTGACCATCATTGACAAAACCACCCTGCAGCACCCCCGCACCGGCACCTGGCAATCCCTGAATGACCAGGCTGGTGCTCTGGACGCTTGAAGGGTTTCCCGCAAAATGCGGGGTGTGAGTTACAGATCGTCCATGTCCACGCTGAGTGGACTGTCCTCCCTGCTTTTGCCCCCCTGTAGGTGTTGCTGGAAGACTCGTTTCTTCCAGTTGCGGCGTGACTCCCCTTGCTTGCGAGGAGTTTCCTTTTTCCATGCGCTCATCCGACCGGCAGGGGCTTCTGTTCCAGCTGGAGCCGGAAGTGCGAGCTGACCAGGCTGCCTGTGCTCCTTTCCGGGATTGTGGCTCTGGCCTAACCGCCCCGGTCCATTGGCAGTCTTGGTCCCTTGCGCATACGTGACTTGCCGGCGAGTGTCGTTGAGTTCCTGGCCCTGTTCGTTGCGCTGGCGACGGGCAGGAGGCGGAGGCCTCACCCGAGGAAACTTGCTGACGGTCACTTGCAGGTCTTCCTCTGCTTTGTGCTCCTGGCTGCTGCCAGGTTGTCGGACCCTTGATGCATGGCTGGGTCGCGATAAGGAGGGGTCGGGTCGGTCCTCTCCCCGCGGAGTCCCTAGCGCGACTTGCGCAGGGCCTCGTCCAGCTTGGCTTCACGGATCCTTAAATTACGTACCCATTCCTCCTCCTCCACTGTTGTGCCATGGTGGATAGGATCAATGGGAATCAGCTCTAGATACTTGGCCGCACTCCATGAGGCATCGCGAGTTGCCATAAGCTTTGCCTTGAATCGCTGCATCAAGAAATCGCCTAACGTGGCCGTCTCCCCGCGGACCAGCTGGTCAAGCATCTCTGCCAAGCTCCTAAGCTCCCGGTAGTCACTGTCAGACAGGGTCTGTCCTGGGTACGTCGGAGCAACAACCGAAAGCAGATAACGTACTGCGAGCGGGCGCAAGGGATCATCGGACGCCTCCCCAAATGCTTGTCCCAACTGCTCTGCGAAGTTCTGCATGCCGGCAACCAGAAGTTTGCCAGGCTGCAGCTTGGCCAGCGTCCTAAGCTTCTGGCGTCGACTATGCAGGCCTGCGAAGATTTCTGAGTCCTCGTCGGCTTCCTCACCTTCATCTCCCGCCTCCTCATCCGTTGCAGTTTCCTCCCGCTTCAAGGCCTTGCGCAAACTTGCAGCTAAACCGCTAGTTCTAGGCTTCTTGGCTGGGGGCTTCTTGGCGGCAGCCGACGCTGCTTTTTCAGCAAGGGCCGTTGCAGTGTCCTGGCTTCTCTTACGCTCCTGGGCGCTATCCTTGTGCCCCAGCTGCTGGCGCAACTTGTCGAGTCCCTCCGACAGGAAGGTCGCTTTGCTGCGGCGAAGCGGAGGGTCAGCCTCCAAGTCGTCTGTGCACAGCACCTCATCTAGCGCATTCGCAACTTGGACTTCAGGCTTTCGCTTCGAACGGGTCCGACGGGCTCGCCGACCCCGCCTGTTGAGGGCAGGTGGGCGTTCGCCAGGCGCCTCAGCTTCAACACTAAGGCGCGCTGGGCTTTCCGAAGCCTCTGAGTCAGAGTGTGGAACAGGCGCGTGTCCCTTGCGCTCTTGGTCCCGTGTTGAAGCAGGCTCAGCCTCAAGAAGGGGAAGTTGCCTATAACCCCAATCCCTCAGCAAACGCTTCACTTGGGAAGGACTAACCCACTGCCACTCGTCAATATGAATGACGAATCCTTCACGAGTCCTGGCAGGACAATCCTTGGCTCTGCACAAGCACAGGTGATGAAAGGTCCCATCAGGCAAGCAATTGGGCTCCCCCTTGTGGTCCACATAATGCTTGTAGTACCCGTCGGAGGCCCCTAAGTAGCTCCCCTGAACAAAACCTCCCTTGCTGTCAAGCAAAAACCTCTTTTGCACATGTAAGAGGGCCTCTCCTTGACCACGCCAGCGGTCATCATGGCACTTGAAGTGCATGTACTGATACCCTGCCTGATTGATAGCCCTCTCCAATGATGCTCTGTCTCTATTTGGCCCCCGAAACCACGTTTCGATACCTGGCTCCATCAAGGAGACCAGGCACACGTGGCCCAGGGGCCCCGAGCTGCAGCAGGGCCCAGCTCTCAAGCTGATGAACAAAAACTGCGGAGATAGAGATGCGGCACCGCAACTACAAACACTCCGCTCATCTACATATACGCAAATGCAGCTATTCAACCTGACTTTTGAACCAAGGGACATCTTAACACCAAAGGGTGTCTTGCACCATTTACGTCCAGATTGAGCCCAAAGGTGTCTCAACACTGCTTGGGCAGAAAACACAAAAAAACCCAAAACCGGGTGTCTTAAGCACTTTGATAGACTTTGAACCATGGAGTGTCTCAGACTTGCAAAGAGATTCCAAGAAATTTCTGCATAGTTGGTCTGAAAAAAAGAACCTTGAAAATTGTTGATAAAAAGTGATTTCTGCAATCAACAAAAGTAAGACGATCAAAATGCAAAACCATCAAAAACAAAACGGTTTGGTTTGGGCGTTGCGCGCAACATGGACGTCTTAGCAGTGCAGTTAAACTTGTCTTGCAGTTGATTTCTGTCCAAACGGCACTGTCAGAGGCTTTCAAAAAGCGCTTGTTTCAAGCAATTTCAACTTTTCATTTTTTTTTGCACACATTCTTCACCGGTGTCCATGCTGGAGCACGAAGTTTTTTTTTTGGACTGGTGCCTCTTTACTACATCAGTAGCACAGTAGGCCGGTCTTGTTGGGCTCGACGAAAAGGGTGAAACAGAGTCAGCGCACACAACCCGCCAGACACAACACGAAACCACCAAGCAAACAGACACCGAAGAAACAAAGCGAGCAATCGCGCAATACTACTAGATACCCCACGGACTCAGTACTCGAGGTCGTCAATGAAGTCCCGGTTCACAAGGAAGCACAGAGCTTGTGGGGGATTCGCAAAATGCGACATTGCCAGATTCTCAAAATCACCATCATGTAGCCACTGGTGCGACAAGCGGTTATTCAAACCGAGGTCATCAGACTAGGTTCGGATCTCTTAATCGTTGTCAAGGAAAGACAACCGACACTCAATGGCGAAGGATGTTGCAAGTCAGACTCCCTAGGGGGGATGAAAGATGTGCATATGCCCCATGGTGGTCAGCCAGTGGGGACTTAACAGCAAGAACAATCAAGGCAAGACCGGCCCAGGGCACTCCATGGTGGTCAGCCAGTGGAGTAGCTCCGAGCACAGGGTTCACCAGTCAACCTGGCGAACAAGTGCCCACCCTCAGAGGTGCCCGCGCACGGCCAGAGGGGGGGCGAAAGTAGCAGCAGCTACCGATTCCACGGGGAGAGTCCACAGCGAGTTACCAAACCCTTAACGCCACAGGGTTTATAATGACAACGAGGGACCTCCCAGTCCAGGCATCTCACACAAGGCTACGCCACCTTGGCGCTGGCCTGCGCATCGGCACGCATCAGGTCCCTCCAAACCCAAACCCGCGAGGTACGTCGGTAAGGAGATGGGAGGGCTCACATCACATTGGTGCCGAAGTGCAAGGATCTCCATGATATTGCTACTTTGATCCAATCAGAGCCTTCAGGTAACATCCACGCGGGCGGGGAGCCCACTTGCCCTGCCGCAAGCCAAGCTCAGACGAGGGTGACCCTCAAGAGTCTCAAGAGGGCCAGGTTGTTCTACAAGTGGGGAGTGGCTCCCCGCCAAGTCAGCGGGTGCATAATCTCCACGTAGAAGTGTCCACAGCCAGCCGCCGAACTGCTAGGTCACCCTGTGCACTCAGTACTCGAAATCGTCGAAGAGGCCGGGAGCACACATGTGGCACCGAGTGCGCAGGTGCTTCGCAAAATGCGATTGCCAGATTCACAAAACCACCATCATGCAGCCACCGATGCGAATACAGTCAGCACCAGCCAAGGCCGTTCACGAGAAGGTTCACAAGTCCGCCATCACAGGTGGAGCAAAGTCGTGCCTTGGTACGGGACGTTGTAGGTGTCAACCTTCGTGATCCGAAGTATAAAGTTGCCCCATGGTGGTCAGCCAGTGGGGACTTAACGGCAAGAACAAAGGGGTAGGACCAGCCCAGAGTACTCCATGGTGGTCAGCCAGTGGAGCCTCTCCGAGCACAAGGCGCAACGTTCTTTTGACTCACAAGAGCTCGTCCGCCGGCCAAAGCAGGCTTGACTGCTTCGTTCCAATCAGAGCCATCAGGTAAACCAAAGCAGGCGGGGACCCCACCTGCCCCGCAGGAAGCGGGAGAGTCCCCCAGTCGAAACTTCGCACTCAAGGCCAAGCAACTATCTCCTTGGCCGGTGAGGGTTGAGGGTTCGATACCCAGAATCAGACCGTCCATGCCCAAACGGCTCACATCACGCTTGGCCACCTACCGTTGGGGAGGTAGTCCTGTATGGCTGCTTGGACGCAAGCAGAGATAGACACCAAGCAGGCAGGGAACCCCGTAGCAACCCAAGCACAGGCGAGAATGGCTCTCGTGAAGGCCAGGTTGTCCACAGGTGCTCGATGGCACATTGCCAGGGAAGTGGAAACCTGATCTCCGCATAGAAGTGTCCACAACCCGGAAGCAGCATCCCCTAGCTGGTCTCTCCCAATAGGCATGACGCCGTTGTACGACAAGGGGGTGTCACCGTCCAGACGAGAGATGGTCAACACTCAAGTCCGAGGGGTTCACACTCGGTCGTAGCACATAGAAGCAGGCAACCTGCCCACCTAGAGGGGGCAGAGGAAAGGAAGATAGGCCGTTTTACCGATGACAGAGCTGGAACATCCAGGCAGGACCGGTCCAGGTTAGTCCGTGGCAGATGGCCAGTGGAGCAACCACGAAAGAAAGGCCCCCCGTCACCACAGGTACACCGCGGGGCCGACACAGAAGGGTGTTCACAGCTGCAGGCTGTGAGCACACAGAAGACAAGCACGGTCCAATCCGTGGCATAGACCACGAGAGGGTTGCCAAACCAAGAATATCCCGAGGTAGTCTTGCGGCATGTATCGGCGGGGAGATGTGAGGGCTCACATCACGCTAGGCAGCATGCCATGAAAGGACTCAATGGCGCGTTCGCATGGCGTCAGTAGGAGCCCTCAGATGACAGTTTGCTGTCTATTGCCAGGAGCCATCCCAGTCCGGACGCCGGGAGCGATGGCCATCTGAGGTGGTATGGGAACGCGTACGGCTGGGCATGACCTGCATTGGAGGCAGCTCTTGCTCATCAACCCCCCACTCAGGGATGCCGTTCGGAATGGGGATACCTCTGTATCTTGTCATTGAGGTTTGGGCCGCGAGCCACATCACCCGGACAGCTTCCTGGATTTGCCTGTACTGCACAACACCTTCGTCCTTATACTGAAAGGGGAAGGAGGTAACTGCCGCACGCAGGGCCGAAGGATCAGGGTCCTTGGGGGTGTCATGACAGTACATCTTAAACCAGAAGCTGTTGAGTCGCTGCTTGGTTGGATGTTTAGCTCGCATGAGCCCCTTAATGGCAGCCCAATGTGCAGTGGCTGCGTCATACCACTCATTTTGGGGACGTTGTGGCCCATGCTTGGTGGGTGTGGTGCTGATCCCTTTCCAATGCGCATCGAAGATGACTGGCAGCCGGAAAGGGGCTGAGACATCCACTTCTCGCAAAGCTGCAAGGTCAGTGGTTCGCAGCTCCGAGAAGCGCCAATCATTCACCTGTGCCTCGGGTTCGTCCTCCGCATCCGACACGTCATCCATCGGGCAGGGAGAACCTTCGTTAGTTTCGGAAGAGATGCTGACGACCTCCGGCGAGGCTGCTGCAGTGTTCACTTCCACAGGCGCAGCCAAGGGCGAGGAGAGCAAGCACTCTAGGGGCAACACTCGCCGTAGAAAAACAGCCATTCTGTGAGAAGTGTCAGGCCATTCCAAGTTATAAACTGACCAAAAGTGTTCAATGTTTTGGTTGGCCACCGAGGCCGCAAGAGCAAGCCGGATGGCGTCAAGGAAATGGGCAGGGGGGAGGTCCGGCCTAAATTCTTGATAGTGCCTTTGCCCAAGTGTCTCTGTGCCCTGTAGCGTGATGCCTAGGAACGTATTCAGGCTGGGCTGGGCAAGCCTGGCCGTTTCCACGTCCGTGTGCTTAGCAGCTGCGGCCCATGCCTGCAAGGCTTCTTGGGAGGCTTGGCCAGTGACTTGTGGCATTCCACTGTGCGCGTCCATCACATATTTGGTAGTAGGGCACTTGGGACACCGATAAGCGCGGCCAGCCAAGAAGGCCACCATGGCTGCAGGCGGCACATTGATCTGCAGGTCAGTGATTTTATTGTCAGATTCCGGAAAACCAATAACAATGGGCAGCCCTGCCGTACGCTCCAGGGGACCTTTTTGGTGGGACTCGAATGCGAGCAGAAGTGCACCCAGCCAATAATCTGGGTCAGCGTAGCTGAGCATTGCGGGAAAACTGGCATTGATGACACTCGGCAAGTCCGACACCGCAGAGAATAGATCCGCGATGTACTGCGCTGTGGTAAGAAAGCCATACCCCACCAGGGACTCCGAAAGCCTTGCTTTGTCCAGCTGCGGGACCGGGCAATCCAACATTTCAGCAAGGTCGAAATGCTGCAATGCCCCCGACAATCTAAGGCACTGCGTGATGATAGGGTCATAAACCTTCAAATACGCTGCCGGAAACGTTTCAGGCAGATGCAGTAGCGTGTCAGCGATTCCGATCAGCATACCCGAGTCTTGCAGCTGGTTCGGGATGCCGTTCAAAAACACCTCATAGGCCCTATATGCCCGAAGCTGCTGGCAGTGTGTTGTGAGGTGTTGCGAGTCTCGCAGGTTCATGTAGGGCCGAGGTTTGACATTCTTACCAAAGTGATGTCCCGCTGCAAGTGCGCGCCACATGAGATCACAGACCGAGTCTGTGTTGCTCTGCATGATGGGTGCACAGGCTGGGGCGCTGGGA